AATTATATTTCCAAAAATAGAAATGACAAGTTATGTGGAACGGAGGAAAATAAAAAATATGAACAAATTATGTGGGAGAAAGGGAATAGTATATAACATTATACTTTGCATATATTTGTAAAGTACTAATCATAATTATAAATACAATAAATACTGTATATATCTCAAAATAAATGTCAATGGAATAAAAACTGTCAGGTTAAATCAATATATATTAATTAATTAATTATCAGATAATGGCATTCAAACCGAAATAAATATATACACTCACCTGAAAGAAATCATTAACCCAATTATTATACCATAAATGGCAATTACGCCCCCACTCTCCACGAAAATATACTCCCTCCGTCCCGAAATTAAATATCCACTGGCTTTTTATACGTAGTTTTGAAAATATTAGTATTTTATTAAAATATAGTATGAATAAAGTAGAAATGACTAAAATAACCTTATTAGTATGTGTGATATAAAGATAATGACATTTGTGTAGTTGTAAGGGTATTTATAATGTTAGTTAGAGAGTACGGTTACTAAAAAAAAATGGATACTTTGTTATGGGACAGACTAAAATGGAAAAATTGATATTTTGTTATGGGACGGAGGGAGTATTTCATTCGGTCCACATAGTTTATTACTCTCTACATCTCTCTACGTCCCAATACAATAGTCCTATTTATTATTTTTGTCCGTTTTAAAACAATAGTCTCATTTCCTTAAATAATAATATCACTATAAAACTATCTTTATTTTTTCATTATTATTACACAATTGCCACTACTTTTTACACTAATACACTCACAAGAGCAAAAAAAATTTTTACCTATAATTTTTACTTGCTACCAATATAATATCGATATTCCTTAAATCTTGTATCAAACACAACTCAAGACTATAGTTGTGGAACAAAGGGAGTGTTATTTTTTAAAAAAATATTTATAAATTTTAATTACATTTTAAATTATATATATTTTAATTTTAAATAAATTATTTAATTATCTTAAACTATAATTATTTGTAATGTACCATTAATTTTTTATTAATATTACTTACTAATTATAATATTTATAAATTCTCGTATCTACGGTAATCTGAACATTTTATTAGGAATGAGAAGAGTATAATATAATAATTTGATAAATGAACCAAATATATATCTACATATTCTCTCTCCGTCTCATAGACATATTTTTTTATTTTAATTTGTCCAATAACAAATTGATATATTTTTATTTTTAATAAATTTATCAATCTTAAACATGTTTTACATATATAAATCAAATTAATGAAATTTCTAACATTTTACATGTAGGAGCTCTCAACAATTTTTTAATTTTATCTCTCTTTTAATAAATAAATATTTTTATATACATTTGAATTCTTTTTTTTTATAAAAAAAATAATTTATATTAATTATAAATAAATAAACATATATAATATTTAAAATAATTAAACATATAATTTAAAAAATTAAAATAATATATATTAATTTTTAATTTAAAAATACCAACAATATTACTCACATAATAAAAATAAATTAATATTTTAACCTATTATCATTAACTTACTAAAATCTATTTTCTAAAAAATAATATCAGTAACCAAATACATGAAAAAGTAGTAGGGACTTATTTACTTGTACATTTAAGAGGAAAGGATTAGGTGTTATATTAATATTTCTAGAAGAAAATTAAATAAGGATAAATTATAGGATTTGTTCATTGTATTTTTAAATGGCACAATTATCTCTATAAATATTATTATTATTATTATTATATATATATATTATATGTATATTAATGCAATATATATAACATATACACTTAATCGATTCACAAAAGTTAATAATTCAATATAAAATATTAATTTTTATCAATACAATTTTCAACACTTAAAGAATGTTTGGGAAACAGCGTTTTTTGAAGAGCTTTTAGCTTATTGAACAACTTTTAGCTGTTTGACCAGTTAAAAAACTAATTTAGGTGTTTGGTAAATTAGCTTTTTGAAAGAGCTTTTTGGACAAAAAAAACTAATTTCTGAAAAGCTCATCTACCCAGCGTTTTGAAAGAATTTTTTTATTTTAATTTTGGTTGTTCCTTATTTACCCTTAAAACTTAATTATTTATTTTATACATATAAATATATTTTTATAGCAATATTTATTAATTATTTTTAATATATTTAATTTATTAAATTATATTTTTATTTTTGTAAATTTAAAATAATTACTATTATTAATTATTACATATAAATTATTTTTTATAAAATATATAAATTTTTAAAATTAAATAAAATAGAATAAATAAAGATTATTAATTTATTTATATATATTAAAACAATAATTAACATAATAAAAATATATATACGAAAGATTTATTATTTTATATTTTATATAATTTTAATAAAAAAATATTGTTTTTAGTAAAAATAAATTTTTCAGATCTAAATAATAAAAATAAAAATAAATATTTTGTAATATTTTTATAATTTTCAATAATTAATAAAAAAAAAATCTCATAAAATTAAATATTTAAAAAAATAACATATCAATGTTCTTAATAGTCATTTTATATATAAAGTGCTAATGTCAAACAGTTGTTTTACCGAATACTTTAATACAATCCGTTAATTGAATCAGCTAGTCAAATCAGCTAATTGAATCAGCTAACCGCTAAAAGCTATCAGCTATTGTCAAACGCACCCTTAATATAGAAAATAAATTTACCTGAAAAAACAAAGTGAACAATGTTAAATAGTATTACTTTAGTGAGAGAATAAAATATATATTATATATATTGAAAATTATATCGGATAAAATGAATTAGACAAACAAAAATTCTTTTTATTTTTGTAGTTTGCATTTCAAACTTTTGCTAGTATTTAATTTTCACTATTTCTAATAAAAATACATATTTGTTTATAAGAAAATTGCAACACAATAATATTTAAATTAAAATTTAAATAAAAAAATCCAATCAAACACAAGCAAAACATTTTTTTTAAAAAAAAATCATTTAAAAAAAATATATTCACAATGCTATGTTTTAAATTTTGATATTAATTTAAATTTTTATTATACTAATTATTGTGATATTTTATGTAAAATATAATTTATTTTATTATATCAAATATCAAATCAAATTATTATTTAAATAAAAATATATAAAATTAAAATATAGACACTAATCCAAGTAAACAACAAATATATTTATTAAAAATAATTTATATAAAAACAATATTCACTTCATCAATCAAACGTGTCCATTAAATTTGTATTTATATTATAAATAAAATCATTTTAAAAATCCACTTATATTTTATCTTATTTGAATTACATAATAAAAGCTTTATTAATGCGGTTAACGACAACGGTTATAGTGCTAAATTTTATTACAGCATTAGATATACACAATATATGTTACTATTGATGTAAGACATAAAATGTGAACCGATAAATACAATTATAACAGTCTATATCACACGTGCTATATTAATTCAAGCCGTTTATAATCTAGAGTATATTCCATGAACAGTTAGTATGGTACTGATTAATCTCTAGTCAACGTCTTATATTATCTTTTTAATTAAATTACATTTATACGATCGGTTAAACACATTTACAGATAGATTCGCTTGACGCTCTTACTTAACTTTTATTTTTACATTGCAATATTATATTTTCTTAATTTGTCAAATAATGCATTTTTGTCGTACATGAATATAAAAAGTACTTTATCTGTCTACAATTAATATATAAAATCTATCAAGTATAGTTCCGTATACTTATAAACGGCAAATAGAATTACCTCATTCAACTAACTTATTAATCCGTTTTCTCATACCGTTTCCCAGCGATTATTATCTAAAGTACAATCGCAAAATCGTACATGTATGATTTTGAATATAAAATATTCAATTTGTCAATCAAATTTATGTTAGTTTATATATATAACTTGTTCATAAAAAATATGTGTTTCTTTTTGTTCATAGTAAGTTTTTACACATGTTTTAATTTATGCTCTTTAGCATTTTCTTTGTTTATAAAAATATCTAAACCAATAACATAATTTATCAAAAAATAAAATAAAATTTATCACCTCATCAATTTATATATTTTATGAAGTGTTTTATTTTTATGTCGTAATTAACCCATATTATATAGAAATATGTGTTGTGTGAATTGTATACTAAGCTGAAATTAATATATATTGTGTTATATGAAATTATATAATATGTTATGCTATATATTGTATTGTATTATATTATATAATATGCATATTGTGCTTAAATCAAAATATATTGCGTTACATATAATTATACATTATTGCACTGAAATCAAAATATTGTGCCATTCGTAATTATACAATATGATGTCAAAATATATACTATATATTATATTAATATGCATTGATTTCTTTAATATAAAATAATAATTATATATATATATAAAACCTTAAAATGTTGAAGATTAAAAACAAACACAACACAAGACCATGATAAATTTTATTTTTTATTTTTCCCAATTAAATAGCAATAGAATTTTGGATAATGCAAATGCAAGAAAATTCGACAAAGTCGTCGACACAAATTAAAATAATCCTTAATCCCCAAACCAAAAACCCTAACCTCAAAGTTGTAAAAAATAAAATAAAATAAAATAAAATTCTTTTAATCGATTCTAATGAAGGTGGAGTTATATTCCAATTCGATAAATAAAAAATCGATTATGTTAATGTATGTATCTATCAGAGAAAGAAGGCCACGCCACGCATTCAATTGCCTGCGGATTTTCCAGGTGTCTTTCCACTTTTTTACATTTCCTTTCCTTTTCCCCCCTCTCTCTCTCTCTCTCTAACCACAACAAACACAGGAATAAGCAACAGCTGTGTTTGTGTTAGTTACTGTATATTGGAGTGGGGTAGGGTGGGGTAGGTCTCTTCACAAGAAATCTCTACTTATATATATACATATAATTATATACACACACCCTCTCTCTCTCTCTCTCTCTCTCTCATCCTATCTCTATCTGTCTCTCTTTCTCTCTCACTCCTTTCCCGCTCCTTCTCTAATCTCAGTTTTTGACCTATTGTATGGTGTCTCCGACGGGATAGAGAAGAGAAGGAAACAATAATGGGGGGTGAGAATGTGGACAGTTCTTCTCCGGACAGGGAACTACAACAAAATGCCACTTTAAAGCTCGACGATTACGAGGAAGAGGAGACGACTGGTAGTAAGAACACTCAGATCGCCACACCTCTATCCAAATTCGAGGTTCGTTTTTTGGCCCCCTTTTCAATTTTCTCTTTTTTTTTGGGGGGGTTCTTGTTCGACTCTAGATTTGTAGCTTTTTGTGGGTTCTTGAAAATGGGTTTTGTGTTTCTGCTTTGGGGGACTCTTCGATTTGGTACAATTTTATCTTGAGATTGCTTTTTTTTTTTTTTTTTTTTTTTTTGGGTATTTTCAGGATTCACCTGTCTTCAATTTTCTGAATAATCTGTCACCAATCAAGCAAGTTAAATCTCTACATATTACTCAGACGTTTAATCCTCTGACTTTCGCATCCATTCCATCGGTTTTCTCTTCGCCCCACGTTTCCTCTCTTAAGGATTCTAGATTTCTCCGAAGGTACCTTATCTTGATTGTGTACTGTTTTCTTAATCTTGATTTTGATTTTGGTTTTGGTTTGCTGTTAGATTATTGCCAGTTCTTGTTTCAGGTCTCAGATTTCAGATCCTTACAAGCCGGAATTCTCCTACTCCGACGAGCCCTTCCATGTCGGGGCAATTAAGGACTATTCCTATGATCCTGCCGGAATATCCGCCGGAGATTCCCCGGCGCCCGGGCAATCCTTCGTCGGAGGTTGTTCGAATGATTCTGGAAATTCGCTGCCGCTTGTCCCTTTCCTGCAAGCCTCGCCGCCGGCGCCGGAGCCGGCGCCGGAGGTCACGGCGAATCGCGGTGATCAGAATAAAGAAGCTGCATTGTCTGAATGGGATAGCTTGATTTCCGAAACCTCGGATTTGTTCATATTTGAATCGCCGGTTTACACCGATCCTTGCAAGAATTCGATCGCCGGAGTTGACAGTGCCATTCAAAAAAACGTTCATTTGTTCGGTTCCGGCGAAGAAATCGGCGAGGGAAGTGAAATGCAGCACATATCTACACAACCCGGCGACAAAATCGATATTCTAGAACCTTCCGGGGCTGCCGGCGGGATCGCCGCTCCTTCGATGATCGATCCTAACGAAAAGGTCGATGCTTTTCCGGGTTTTACGCATTAGATTATACGTATCGCTTCGTTTTCGATTCTGCTTGTTGATGCTGTTCTTTGATTTTGCAGAATCTTGGTTTTCATCGAGGTTTACGACGGCGGTGCTTGGTTTTCGATATGGCGGGTGTCCTAAGAACGCATGTCGACGAAAATCCGTCGTCGGATCCTTCCGATGTTTCGTCGAATAGCGAGAAGGCTGTCTTGATTAGGACAGACAACGCTTCTTCTCGAAGTGCTTTACCGGGGATCGGCTTGCATTTGAATACCCTCGCCGCCGCTACTCCTAATTACGTCATCGTAAATCAAGATTCCGCGGCTCCGGGAACATTAGTCGTTGGACCTAGCTCGTCGAAAACCGGTCAAGAATTGCTTGACTCCACGTCAACGTTACCGCTCGTTGTATCGTCCAATAACGAAGAAATTAACGCCGCCGAAGATTCAATCCTTCCCGCCGTCGACGATTCTTCCGCGCCGAATGAAGAGAACAATCTTAGTACTAGTCCTAAGAAGAAGAGGTAGTATTTCGTTATTTACGACGGTTTCGCTTTCGAGTTTTCGATCGACGCTTAACTAACGAGCTAGAATTGAAATTTCAGGCACCGGCTGGATGGCGACGGCGACGGAGAAGCGTGCAAGCGGTGTAACTGCAAGAAATCGAAATGCCTGAAACTGTAAGCTCGATTTCTTCGTTCCGTAAACTATATTCGATGTACTCTGTGTATATAATGACAGGTTTTTGCTACCGATTGCAGTTATTGCGATTGCTTTGCCGCCGGCGTTTACTGCATCGAGCCATGCGCGTGTATCGATTGCTTTAACAAACCCGTTCACGAAAACACCGTAATTTCGACGCGCAGACAGATCGAGTCGCGAAATCCTCTCGCGTTCGCGCCAAAAGTGATACGAGGAAACGACGCTCTTTCAGACGCCGCGGTTAGAAACTACGTCGAATTAAATTTAGCGTTGTAATTCTTGTGTTTTTGTCGATTCATGTAATGATTTCGTTTTATCGTATCGTCGTGCAGGACGACTCGAGCAAGACTCCGGCTTCGGCTCGACACAAACGAGGTTGCAACTGCAAGAAATCGGGTTGCCAGAAGAAATACTGCGAATGCTATCAGGTTTTTCATTACATACTACAATTGTCGCTTTTCGTTAACTCGTTGAGTAACTTGAATTCTTTCGCGCTTTCGAAGGGCGGAGTCGGTTGCTCGGTTAACTGCAGATGCGAAGGATGTAAGAACGGATTCGGTAGAAAAGACGGCGGCGGTGAGTCGACGCTAACAATTCGTTTCTCGATCCAAATTCGATCGTCGTCGTTGTTTCTAATTTCTTGTTCGAATTCGCAATCAGGGTCGATCTTTGCCACCATGGAAGTTGAAGCTGAAGAAGGTGAAAAACCAGAAGCCAAAAACGTCGATCCCGGAATTCCGGCGACGCCTATAACATCCGTAAGGTGAAAACATATCATAATCGAAAATTGCATTTCGACGCCCCCTGAAAACTCGTCGACACTAACAACATTTTAAAATCCATCGTTGTCATCGATCAGGCAATCGGGAAGTCTCGTGATTCCTTCCAAGAAAAGGCCCCCGCGATCTTCTTTCCCCCCGACCGGCAAAGGTGGTAATAAGGATAATCCGGATATTCAGACACAGGCGAAGACAGACGCCGAAAAAACGGCCGAGGATGTTAGAGAGGAGATACCTGAGTTTCTGCAAGAGGGGAGTTCGGCAGGCGGAGTTCAGTCGACGTCGCCTAACCGGAAAAGGGTTTCGCTGCCGCGGATGTCGCCGGAATTGCGCAGCAGCCGGAAGCTGATACTTGAGTCGATACCGTCGTTCCCGTCGCTTTCGCAGAATCAGTGAGGTTATTTCTTCTTCTTCTTCTTCTTGTTCTTGATGAGAGGTTTTCTGAGAGGTGAATTGTTCTTGATGACTTGTTCTTTGTCTATCTTAGTTTAGACTCACAGTAAGGTTAGTTTTTGTTTCATTGCATTCGCTACTTTAGGACTTCTTATATGGTCATAATAATACAACTGGATTTTAGAATCTTATACTGTCTGAATCTTATGGTTTTTATTGAACTGGTAGAAGTGATGCCATTAGCACACTTCCTCAAATGTTTTTTTTTTTATATATACTAATACTATTTTTGTTAGTTTTATTAAAATATTTTTTTAAAAAATTTATAAAATAAAAACATCAATTATTTTATATATTTTTCCTGATTGATGAAATACTAATACCATTTTTTGTTAGTTGTATGATGTGATATAAATAGGTGTTGATGTGATGTTTTGAATGTAAAATTGATTTTTAGTATAATATAACAAATAAAAAATATGTGTTTGATTTGATGTTCTTCGAAAGAAAAAATAAAATGAATAATGAATTTAAAATCCAATTCTCCAAACAAACACACCCATAGTATAAATGTTTGTGTTCTTTACTATAAATGTGTTAGATTATTGAAGTATTATTTTAAACGTAATAATATACTAATTTTGCAATAGCTTTTGGTGTGTGTGGAAATATGATTGATATAGTTTATAAACTAGTTTTTTATGAGGTAAATGTATCTTAAATTACAAATATGTTTTTCTAAGTGTAATAGTATATTAATTTTGCAATGTATTTGATGCGCAGTAAATTTGTTTGTTTTCTATTTATAATGTAAATATATAAGGTATTATTTTAAATGTAGTAATATACTAAGGATAAGGGTGTGTTTGTTCGAGGATTTGGATTTTTGGTTAGAATTTGAATATTTTGAATTAAAATTACGATGTCATGTAAATAAGTATTAATGTGATTTTTTGAATATAAATTTAATTTTTAATATAAAATAGAAAATAAAATATAAATATTTGATTTGATTTTTTTAAGAGAATTTTTTTATTAATAATAGAAATTTGAGAAAAATGTGATAAAAGAACACACCTTAGGTTTGCAATGTGTTTGGGGTGTTGTGAAATGTGCTTGTTATAGTGTACAAATTAGCTTTCTATAATGTAAATGAGTTAAACTATTAATGTGCGACAATATGTTAATTTTGCAATGTGTTTAGTGTGTAATAATTAGTCTTGTCACGGCCCCGTCTAGGCGATGCCTTGGCGTCCCAGCGGTGCACCATCACCGCCACAACAGTTTGCCTCGCCGTTTAACGAGGTCAGCGTCTAAGCGTCGCTTTGGCGATGCCAGGGAGCCATGACAACGCCAAACGGCAAGTTTCTGTCAGATCTATGTCAGATCTAGTCTATGACCGAACTGGTCTATAATCTAAATCGTTATTATTTTTTTTTTCTTTTCTTTGACCCGTCATACTTGCCTTTTTTCCGTCGTATTTTTTATTAAAATTAAATATTTTAGCACTATAGTAGTTTATTAAAAAATATCTATAAAAAAATTATGTAGTAATTGATTAAATTATTTTATTATAATTTTAATAATGATATGTTGGTATTTGGTACTTTGACGAAGATTAGTAATTAAATGTTATAATTTTGTACTTATATTATATTAGAACTTTACTTGATATTTTATTTGAAACCAGTGATTTAAAATTATAATTTTGTATTATATAATAAATTAAAATTTATAATAAGTAAATCCCATATCATCTATAGCAGTCCGGTGGCATCATGCCCGAAACCTCCTTGTGACAACCTTGATAATAACATGTCCTTGTTATAGTGTAATATTTGTTATCCATAATGTAAATATGTAACTCATAATATGTCATTTTACATAAACAATGATCAATAACATATCATTATATATAATATAAAAAATATTAATAGACAAATTACAATCAACTTATTATTCTAACAGTTCAGTAAAATTCAAATACAAATTTGGTAAATTTTTATTTATCGGATTAACTTTGTTAACTAATAATCTTACAATGTAACTTAGACTCGAACAATTCACAACCAATCAACACCCTATTGAGGCAAAAAAGACTTATATTAGTATATGATATTGTCCAATTCGACCTGAGCTGAACCGAGTATATTTATTTTTGGAGAGAAGGAAAAAAATCTGAAGTAAAATATAATAAGAAAAAACTACAAAATAAAAAGGGAAACATTTTTAAAATTATCTTTTTACTGCAAATATAGAAGAATGAAAAAGAGAAAATGCAAAAATAAAATAAAATATAAAAAATAACTACGAAATAAAAAAAGACTTTCAATTCTTTGAATAATTTTGCAATCCTTTGAATTGCGTGAGATGAAATAAAATGATAATAACAAATTAATTATTATTTATATAAATAACTATAATAAAATCAATTACTAAGTAAAATAAAATAAAATTTAACAAACATCCAAAAAACAATAATAACATAATTTTATCTGAAAGGAGTACAGTATTATTTTTTCCATGTACCATAAAAAATACCTTTAATTGAATCAAAAGAAATACAGAGTTTCTTTAATTTAGAATTCTACACTAATTTTACTATTCTAATCTTCTTTTACAATTTCAAACTCAAAAGTATCTTTTTTTTTCTTTTTTTTCTATTTTTTGAAAAAATTTTACTAAGAATAATCATAAACTTCAAAAACCCCAATGGAACATAAAGATTATATTACTATTAGAGCTGATAAACAAACCGAACCATTTGTGAACTCGGCTCGGTTTAACTCGGTGCTCGTTTGGTTAATGAACGAACCCAAACTTTGTTCGCGAATGTTCGTTTAAATAATATATTTATTATAAATATTATATATATATATAAAATTATAATTTATAAATAAATAAAATATTAATTTAAAATATATAAATAAAATAATTTTAAATTTTTTTATAATTTATATATAAATTTAAAAAAATAAGACAAACGAGCTCAATCGAGCCAAACACGAACACAAACTTGAACAACAAAAATTTTTAACGAGCCAAGCTCGAGCACTACGAACGAACATGAGCCTTGTTCGCGAACGTTAATGAACACTTAAAATTTGGCTCGGCTCAGATCGTTGACAGCTCTAATTATTATATCAAAATATATAATCAATGCATATATATATATATATGTCACTATCTTTCAAAATAACTATTTCAATTCCAAGTACTATAAAATTTACTATTTCAAAAATATATATACCTCATCAAATACTATAAAGTTTACTATTAGCAAAATTTTCCCAACCTTCAAAAAAAAAATTTATATCCATCCATAGAAAAAAATCTTCACGTGACATACCTAATACAATAGAAAAATTAGCACAAACAAAATGCAAGTGAGAATGGACATCAAAATTAAAGTAAAACTTTTGTAATCCAAACTAAGCAACAAAACCGGAGGACATAAAAAGGGTCAGGCCAAACATAACTAGAAAAGTTTACGAAGAAAATGGAATCATTGAAAGGAACCTCATCGTACGTCTGTCTCAAAAACTTAAAGTAGCAATAAGTTGGGTTTTTTCTGATCATCAAACATATATTTAAAAACCACTCATTACCATATGATGTAGTTAAGTTTGGATAGGGAACTTGTCTAGGCACCGACAACTTCAGTTGGTGCCTCGGGCTCTTCAGCTGGCCTGTCCAACTTTACGCCAACATCTTCAGAGTAGTCGCCGTGAACCTACAAGGCATTGTGCAAATTAGGACAACGTATTAAAGGTTAGAAAGAGAGAAAGGTAGAGAGAGACTCACCTCCATCAACCTGCCCAGGTCGAACTTGGGGGCTTTCAATATTTTGACCTTCCTGATGAACACATTTTGCAGAGGGTAGATGCTAGAGGTCGCCTTCTCGATCTCTTTTCCAATCGATTCGGGGATGAATTTCTGAACCAAATCTTTGAGATCGCACGACTGTGCCTGGTTAATCATGATTTCCCTCATCTTCCGGCGTATCTAACAAAACAAAGTGAGGTTAGAGTATGTTCGTTTGGCAGATTTCTCCAAATTTCTTATTTACTAAATTTTTCCCCCAAAAAAATAAAATCAAATACCTATTTATCATTTTTTATATTATACCAAAAACCAATTTTATATTCAAAATACCCCATCACACAACTATTCTAATTCAAAATATCCCCTTAGTATTTTTTGGGAAAAAATTATTCGGATAACTACAACAAGAAACAACCAATTGAAGTAAAACATATTTAGATTTTTTTTATATTAGCAAAGATTGGGTATTTACTTGGCGAATCTGGCTGGATTGTGCATAGCACGTCCTCTTCTGCTGGTTAACACGCTTTTTGGTGAAGGCGATGCAGAACATCCTTAGAGTGTAGCTGTCTGTTGTTTTGACATCAACGTGAGCCTCGATCAGGGATTGCCATTTCCTGACAAGTGACCTCAGCTTGTCGGTAGTGAAGTTCATGCCCTGAAATTGTTATCGGGTGATTAGAGGATTACACAAAAAAAACCAAAAGGATGTGGTATAAATATGGTACTAAGTTTCTTCATACCCAGAAGTTTGTGAGAACATTCTTTCCTTGAACATCCTCAGCTCTCAAACGAATCTTTCTGAAGGCGTGATCCTCATCGCCTTGAAGATCAGCCAAGGACACCTCAAAGACACGGTGCTTTAGCCCTTCAGATGCAATCTGATACAAAAAAAATGCTCAAGTCAAATGTTCATAATTAAAAAGGCCAAGAAATTAAAACAGACATTTGCAACATCTTAAATTTTGGAATCAATAAATCTATGTGAAAACTCATTCTTACACAAAGAAATGGCTTCAACCACCATTCCAAAAATTTACAAAGATAACTCAAATGCATATTGAGCTTCTAAAGTTACATTTTAACTCAATCTTGTTCTACTTTGACAGTTTACTGTTGAAAAATGCCTTAAAAGGCACATCTTTAAATTCCCGTGTCACAACCTAATTATCATCAGTAAAACTCTTTCCAGAAGAACCAATTTTTATTCAGTCTTAATCACATGAGGTTTAATTTAATTGTTTAATATTCAATAACCAATTAATGTTTGTTTGGTTGTTTTCACACTACCATTTTCAGTGGGCAGGATCCTAGTAACACTATGGGCATAGTTTTCATTTAGCACATGTAACATTTTTATTTTCGATCCAAAACACCATATTAAAAACATACTTATGTTGCATCAAACACAAGTTTCAATCCAAAGATTTAACTAAACCTAAAAAACAAACACACCAAAACACAAACCAAACAAGTTTTTCCTAAGAATCTGGCAAAAATCATAAGTAATCAAACAGAAGAAAAAGAGAATTAGCTTTCACTGAACTTCTCAAAATGTAGCAAAACCTAAATACATAGGACTTCAAGATATATGCAATGCCAATGCTTCAAGATAGTAGAAAAATATTTTTTTACCTTAGTTCCCTGAGTACGAGTAACTAGAGTTTTGCCAATGTTCCTGGTGTTGAAAATCGAAGGAGCCTTGACATCATACCAATCTTTCTTGGCAAACGGATCAACGCTAAATCACAACAAACAGAAAACGAATCAAGCCAAAAAAAATCTCACCACAACACCAAAGCTCAAAACGAAACAATGACAATTAAATAATTATTAAGCAAGCAAGGAAAAAATGAAAAGAAAAAACTCACGCCTTCTTCTTGCCTCCCTTCTTCCCCTTCGAAATCCTCTTGTTCTTTCTGCATCAAATCGAATAAACAAAAACAATAAAAACTCCAATATCACAATGCCATAATTCATAAAAATTTCGATGGACTTGAGCACAACTAGAAGCGTAGATATCTCTAGATTGGAATGAAAAATAAAAACGTTAACATGAACCATACCCGACGGCCATGGCGGCGACGCTGTGGAGGATTGAGCGACGGCTCCCAACGAGAGAAACTCAATTAAAAATGCGCTCAGCAAAAACCCTAGCAGTGTGTCTTCTTTATATTGCTACAAGTTGGGCCTGATTTCGGCCCATAAATTTTTATTTATTATTTTTTGGATATTTCCTAATTAATTATGAGGTCCAATGTAATCAGTCCAGCCCAAGTTATATAAGATAATATTGATGATTTAAAAGACTAAAAACAGGTTTGTTTAATTTTAATTTAAATAGTATTTTAATTTAATAAGTTGTAAAAAAATAATATACTAATGTTTATTAAAAAAATAATATTAATTTGTATTTAAAACAAAAATTAATACTAACAAAAATCTTATGTTTCATTTCAGGAAGAGATTTATTTAAATTGGTAAAAACTTTTTAGTTTGGAATTGTTCTCTTTTGTTTTGATTGTATACGTAAGTTTTGAATTTTTTATTTAAATAATACTAATATTATATTTTTAAAATATAGAATTTAAATAGTAAAAATATTAAATAATTATATTATTATAGATTATATTAATGCTAAAATAGTATTAATTAATAAAAATATTATTTTATAATATATTTTACAAAATATAATGCTATAACAAACTATATTTAAATAAATAAAAATAAGTATCTCTAAAACAAAATGGTGTATTCACTTTTCTGTTGGATAAATATATTTTTTTATATTAAATATTAAAAATAATATTTTGTACTCTCTCAAAACAATAATCTTATTTTCAATATCACCCTACTTTTTATTTTTATTACACAATTAAGACTGCTTTTTATACTAATACACTTTGATACAGTTGTTAAAAAAAGTTTTTTTATCCATATTTTTTATCTAACTACCAATATATTATCAATATTCCTTCGATCATGTGTCCAACCCAATTAAGACTAGTTCTGGAACGGGAGGAAGTATTATATTATTGATTTTTTGTTGAAATTTATGCCTCAACGTTTAGGGAAGTGTTCAAAGATAATATAGTAGATTTTGGAAGAAGTTTTGTTGGCCCTCTTCCTTCATCCACGGACGTATTCACAAAAATCCTTATGGTATAAATATTTTTACATTGACATTCAATTTATTTTGGTGTATTTTGGAAATTTTTTGAATTATGTGGACTTGGATGGGAATTGTGGAATCTCATTTTTATTTTTTTTTTTATAATGCGTTAATTTATAACCGCTATCCGAAAGCGCTATAGATCAACTCTCGGTCGAACCTAATAACCTAGGTCCGACATGACAAATTACACTAATTAAACTATGCCTGATTTTGTCATATTGCTTGTTGGTATCTTTGGATGGGGTTAGATTTAGAAGAAAGAGAAAAAAAGAAAATTTAAATAACATGTTTATTCAAAGGATGTTTGTGTAGATTTATTTCTCTCACAAAATTATTATTATTATTATTATTATTATTATTATTATTGATGCTTGATATTGTTGGATTTAGAATAGTGGTTGTGCTCCAACTTTTATTTGACATTGTTAGGTAAGTTTTTTTTTTTAATAATATGAGACCCGTAATCACTATCCGAAAGTACACACTAAACAAATTCTGGTTGAACCTAATCCATAACTTCACAGTCACAAGTTCACTCCCCACATCAGTAAGCCATCTCTATCATCCTTATGTCTTTGAAAATACAACAGTAGTTGTTATGACTGTAACTATCGATAAATCCGATTGTATCCCGGTTGCTAGTTTTATGTTAAACTTCGAATTCCTTCTTAACAATTTTCTAAAAAACATCCAATAAAAATACAAAATAAAAACAAAACAACACACCCTAATTTGTAAAAAGATCGAACAAGTGAAGTATAGAAAAATAAATTTCACACCAAGGAAACTAAACCATGCAAAATAATTGGTGCACTGTACATTCATATCCAAATCAGATCAACAAACATATACATGAAAGCAAAAGCAACAAAACTTTCAAGAGATCAGAGTGATCATATATTCATAGCAAATAATGCAGCATTTAGATTCAAAATAACTTTCTTTATATTGCAAACTTACCAGTTCCAAAGACGGCGCCTTTCAAACTGCTGCTTTGCACATATTCCTCCATTTGTCTTTGAGGTCCACCGTAGTCCGGCTTTTGTCAAAAACACCCGTTCCAAATTCCAAAATTTTTGTCCATGGCATAATCTTGTCGCCGGGGTTGCTCAGTAGTCGAACTCCCTCCTATTTTAGAGAAAACAGGAAAGACACACATAATGCAATATAGAGATAAAATTCAGAAATTCTTAAACTATTCAAAATCAAGACAATAATTTCTACCTTTAATGCATTTTCTTCTGCACTTGTCCATGGAAGTATTTTCCGCCTTAATAGAGGAATTCTTGGATATGAGCTGCTGCAGATAATGATAAAGGTAGGTAATCTTACAATTTATGCATGCCCTTATGCAGAAAAGTACATTCCATTCCATGTAAGCAATAGGCATAATCATCAGCCTTTTAGGAAAAATAAAAGAGGATTATGTAATTAGCAACATAATTATCATGAGAAAGTAACTTACAATTGCGCCTTCTGTTTTCGAACTTTTGTAGAACAAGAACTTCCACTTTTATAGTCTTCATCAGATGTTTCAAACAAATCAAATGATCCAGACTTTGATGAGATATCTTTCTGTTCATCTGACACAGCTCCCTTCTTGGATCTGATGTCAACATAGTTCCCAAACACGCCACTTCTCTTCGAAACTCGGTGGGATGTTTTTTCTCTGAGAGATTTATGGATCCCAAGTTCATCTTTCTGTTGTTTTTCATGAATTCTCAGTGATTGGCATGATATCTCAATAGTTTTTTCCCCTTCTTTTTTATCTTTGTCCAAACCATGAGCTACTATTCTATTGATCGAAGATATATCATTTCTCATTGAACAAAGATTGTGATAGGAATGCATTCCTGAAGGTCCTGCCGGTTCATTTTCCACTTCCTTCCTCTGCCGATGATTACGGACCTTTTCTGTAGCATCTTTCTTTTTCTTGTAAGAGTGTTCCTCAGATTCTTTCTGGTTTCCTACACTACGAATAAAAGTTGCCACATGCTTTCTTGCCAAGGAGGCTTGTTTCTTAACTTCCATGTACTTTGAAATAGCTTGAGAATATGCACAAAATGGGCAGTAAAATTTTCCATTTGTGTCGTAGGCTGATGCATCAGAACCCAGACAGCTCACATGTATCACAATAGAGCAGGAGTCAGAACTACAAACCAGTAACTCGCCACCCTTGTTGCATTTCATGCAAAGATCTAGCTCCATCCGATCAGTTGTTGCCAAAGAATCCTGACCGTATGCCCGCTGAGAGCTCAGAAATGTTTTCTTCATTGCATCAACACTAGTATTCTCATCAAGAAGCAGCTCATTGCTATCTATCGCCAGATCGACACCTTTAGCTTCTTTGACATTTGGAGATTTTCTTGAAATATTTTGCTCAAGTTTGTCAAAGTTGGCATCATGATCTTTCATCTGTTTCCCGTCAAATTTGTAATTCTTTATTTCAGTTTCACATTGAGGGACTACTTCATCACAGCCACCAATCGCCTCCGATGAAGTACACTCGTTACAATTAGCCGGAAGCTGTTGATCCAAAGAAGTATTATTCTTGGTAGCAAAATCAGTGCCATCATAATTGATTCCTCCCTTACCACTAGAAATGTTGTTACCATTTGCTTTCCGAATGTCATATTCATGTCCCTTCCCAGGATGCAAAACTTCATCCAACCTAGCAAGCCCCTTTGGAGAAGTCTGCTGTTGCTCATTATCACCGTCATCAATCCCTACGTTCCCAATATGATTTGTTTTATCTAAGTTGCATCTCCCTCCATCATTGTGTTCAATACATGCTGCTGCAGATGCATTTGGTAATTGTGTATCTTCACCCGAAGGCATACTTTTATCACCCATATATGGTTCGGAGAAAATGGCATCAGGTTTATGCTTCTTGACAGATCCATTATTGGGTTCGACCTGATTTTCACTTTGGATTCTTTTCTTTGCTGCATTAACTAGCAGCAACCTTTCAACACTCGTACTAAGTCTTGGGTCGATTCTAGCTCCATTTTCAGGTTGATTTCCAACAGATAAGCCACTTTGTTCTTTCAAGGAAGCAAGCAAAGAATTCTTTCCTGTTAGAATTGCAGCTTTCAGCTGTTTCAAAATAACCAAACAAAAGAGAAGTTCAACCCCTTCTGCATTCTGCTAATTTATTGTGGCATATAATGAATGATTAAGCATTTCCATGTACCTGCTTCAGAGTATATACAGCCAAGCTCGATCGTTTATGTTGTATAAAGGACTGAAGATCCCATTTGTCGAGCTCTAGATCAGCGAGTTTCAGGCCTGATGGCGATGCCTGTTGATACTTCTGCCAACAATAACAGCTTTCCTGATGATGCAATATATTCAATACTAGTTTCATTAAATAATGCAAAAAATTGATATATGAAGTACTTCAGCCAACATCCTTCGAAGAACATCTTCACAACTATCGGACGGATCTAACTTAATCTTTTCAATAGAGTGAGAAGATGATGATTCAGGAATTGCAGGGGCTCTTTGAACAAAAAAATTTTCTAAAATTTTCAACGACACCGCTTCTCTAGCATTTCCACCAATATCATCATCAGCTATTTTTGGTGTCTTCTCCAGCAAATCTATCACCAAAAATGAAAAACTTTCAATTCCCTCAACAGAATAATTCTTCAATCAGCAATAAACAGTGCTGCTTCCAAGTTTACCTATTAAAAGATATGTGTCTATTTGATTAGAGTGTGCTAGAGTTTCCACAACCCAAATCCATGGAAGGCTTGAGGTACAGGAAAGCTCAAGATCCATAAATGACTGGCTTAAAGCTTTACAGATGACACCCTGACATCCATTAACTCGCACGTCAAGAAATCCAGCAAATGCAAATCAAATCCTCAACCAAAAAAGTGTCTAGATTAATCTATAAGAGAAGCACAAGACATTAAGTAACCGTACAGTAATCTTCCTTGTACTCTGTTTGTACAAACATATTATCATGAATTCAACCATGAAATTCCCGCAGCAATTAACAAACAATTTGACAGCATTTTCAGTTGTTTTGTATAACTCAAATGGAACGAGAAGTAAACTAATGAACAAAATACATAAGCAACTCAATTTAGGTTCCTCATTCCTATAATCCTATTTTCTATTTCCATTTAACTGCATGTTTCATTAAAAAATAAAAATCCTTTGATATATTTCATTACACACTGATTCCAAAACTCACAAAGGCATGCTAAGACGTATTGGATTTAAAACCACAACAAATTTAGTTTACCTTGCAAAACTTTCCAGAGGTTTTCCCCCATTCCGTTTTCTGATGGCTCATGTACGTTCTGGAGATTATTATTCTCCAGGACGACGACGGAGGGCGTCGAATTGCCGAAGTTCGGCGGCAGCGCCGCCTGGAAGTGGTGGTTGTTAATAAATAGGGCGTCAAGGTTCAAATCGAAGACTTATGTCCAATTTCTGATGCCTCATGTACAACACTCCCGGTAGTTAAATAAAACATATTGTTAAGAAAAAAATAATATTATAATCATGGAAAGATTTGAGTTAAAAGAAATATATATATATATATAATATTTTTATTTGATTTATGAATAAAAATTAAGGGTGAGCATTAGTCGGTTTCATTGGAATTTTTTTTTTTTTAAATTTGAATTGTTCAATTAATTTGTTTTGATTTGATTTAAATATTCAATTTAAAAATTTTAATTTGATTTCATTATGATTTTTAAATTCGATTAACCGAAATAATTGAATTTAAAAAAATAAAAATTAAATTATTTAGGTTCAACTTTAACTCTTCAAAATATGATATTGTTTACATGTAAACAACATTTCAATATATAAAACATGTAATGTGAAGTTGGGCCCGGGTTTATTCTATGCGCACTTTCGGGACAGCCGCTGCGAGTTCTTACAGTCATTAAAAAAAATAAAAAATTGTAATTCAAAAGTTTATATTAAACATCAGAAAATTGTTATATATAACAGTAATTAAAATTTTCTCAATTAAATAAAATTATGTCCCTTTCTAGGATTGGTTGACCTAAATTCATTTTGCATATTTGTAATTGAATAAGATTAATAAATTGACATATTTAATTTACCTATTCTTAATTGGCTGCTCACCATTGACAATTTTATTGATTTTATTTACTTTTGGTTTGCACTATTCTCATGATTTTATTTATTTGATTGAAAAATAATTTTTAAAAAATTAGAAATATATATATTTTTAAATTTCTTTTAATAATATATATTAGTATCTTATAAATTAAATTAAATGAAATAAATAATTTCAAATTAAATTTCCAATTTAAAATTGAACTGATAATTAAATAAATTTTTATTTTTTATTTTTTATATTATACTGAAATTTAATTTCAAGTTCAAAATATTATAACAAAACTCGTTTATATCATATTAAATAATTATTTTAATTTAATATTTTACTATTTAAAACACAAATTCAAAATCAAAATCTCACAAACATCATTTAACAAATAAAAATTAAAAATCATTAATTTAGTGTAATACACGAAATTAAATTAAATTGTACAATACACAAGTCATTAATAATCAAATCAAATGAAAAACTTTCATTGCACGTATTGTTCGTTCTTTATTACTCGGCATTTATTAAAATGAAAAAAAAAAATAGTGTAACAAAAAGCACTGTATAAATTGTTCTTTTAATCAATATTATAGTAATTAATTTAGTGATAATACTCCTTCGGCGGCGGCGGGGGCGGCGGCGGCCGCCGGGAACAGCTGTAGATACTACAGTCGACCGGAGTCTTGTAAAAATCGCGGCATTCGCCGGCGGACCGTTGCTCCGGTCTGTACGGAATACAATTCCTAGAGTCATCCTTATCCTTCAATTTCAGACACACCGGCGGCTCGCCGCAGAAGTAGTTATCGGAAAAGGTGAAATTTGCCAGGCGGGGCAAGGAGCATATGCTCGCCGGAATATTCCCCGAGAGCCGATTGTGCGCCACGTTGAGCTGCTCCAGGCTGACCATGTTCGCCATGGATTCCGGCAGGGCGCCGACGAAGTTGTTCCGGCTGACGTCGAACACCGTCAGCCTCTTCAGCCGGCCGATCTCCGGCGGCAGACAGGCGGTGAGCTGATTTTCCGATAAGATGATCTCGTTCAGAGTCTCCGACATCCTCCCGATCTCCGGCGGCAGGCAGCCCTGGAGATTATTATTCGCCAGGACGATGACCGACGCCGTCGAATTGCCGAGATTCGGCGGCAGCGCCGCCTGGAAGTGGTTGTTGTTGATAAAAATGGCGTCGAGGTTTGAATCGAAGATTTCCGGCGGGAGTTTGCCCTGGAATTGGTTGAATCGGAGGTCCAGAAATTTGAGCTCCGGCAGGCGGAGGAGGGCGGCGGGGAAGTGGCCGCAGAAGGCGTTGTTGCTGAGGTCGAGCTCGAAGAGGCGGCGGAGGTCCTGGAAACGGCGGGGGATGTCGCCGGAAAAGTGATTGGAGTTGAGGTGGAGGAGGGCGAGGTCGGAGAGGAGGGTGAGGTCGGCGGGAAGGGTGCCGGAGATTCCGGCGTGGTTGAGGTCGATTCCGGCGACGGTGGTGGCGTAGGGGTCGTCGGGGGCGGGGGCGCAGTAGACGCCGGAGTAGTTGCAGACGGCGGGGCCGTACCAATTGGCGGTGAAGGAATTGGGGTCGGCGGTGATGGCGAGCTTCCAGGCTTGGAGGGCGAGGTAGGCGTTGAAGAGGCGGGGGTTGGGGAAGGAGGATGGGGGGTAGGATGGGGGAGTGGGTTGGGGTAGGGTGGGGTGGGGGAAGAAGAAGAAGATGATGATGATGATCGTCGTCGTCGTCGTACATGGAGAAGATAATGAGGAATTTAGCTTCTTCATTTTTGTTGGGTTTGGAAAACCTTAATTTGATCGTTTTCTTGTATGAGTATATATATATATATATATATGTATGTGTGTATAATTTGAAGATTAATTATCTGATTAATGTCTGACATCGACGTGTGTATGTATCTGTGTATCTATATATGCATTTTTTTTATTATTATTTTTATTACTTTAAAAAATAGATAATGTATGGATGTTGTCTAGACTAATGAACCACATTTCGGGTGTGTTTGTTTGAGGTTGGATTTTGAGTTGGGATTTGAATAGTAAAGATTTTAAATTTGAATAGATAAATAGGTGTTGATGTGATGTTTTGAATGTAAAATTTATTTTTAGTATTATATAAAAAAATAGGTGTTTGATTTGATATTTTTTAGGGAAAAAAATTGGATAAACAGTAAAAAAAAAACAAATCCAATCCCAAAAACAAACACCCTTCGCATGATACGCCTAGACTAGACATATGGATAAGTAGAAAATATATTATTCACATTAATATTATACAAATAAATATATAAATTGAAAGTTCGTTATAATAGTATGCACAACATATTATTATTGATCTCAGCATAATATACACAACACACAATGTTACTATAATATAATAAAAAATATGAACTAACAATAGTATAAGAATAATTCATATAACACATGTCAACATTAACTTAAAGTACATATCACATGTTAATATAATATAATATGTTCGTTTTGTTCTAATTCAAAATACTTTTTTATCATTTCTGTTTGTCTCATTACAAAATATCATAGTAAAAATAATAACACACTAATACTTAATACTTTTAACTTTTATTTAAATTACAAACATATAATTAAACATACAATTATTTTATATATAAGTCAACGAGTAAAAATATCAAAATTACTTACACACTTTAACTAATCAATAAAATACTATTATTTTTTAAACTATTAGAAAATCTCAAATGGTCCCTTTCAAATGGTGACATGTAGCGCGGTCAATCAAATATTTCACGTGATTCACTCTTTCGTGTTCTAATGTAGTAAATAAAAGGGAGAATTTTCTTTTATTATCTAATGAAAATAAAATAATAAAGCAATTAAATTAAAGGGAACTGGCTATCAAGGGGATGTCTGGCTCAAAGGATGATGCAGTCATGACACTTGTGTTTTATCATTGATTCAATAAAGTTAATTTTTATTAAAGTATCAATAAATTGGTTATAGTTATCAACAAGTTCTGACAACCAATTTTTCCTTACAGTGTAAGTAATCAAGGTAGGACCGTTAACTACCCCTAATTAAGCAAATAAACCTAGGTACACCCATTAAGAGATATTGTCTAATCGCATTCTAATCTAGAAAAACCCAATTCAAAATAATTAGTACCTAAGAGGAGCAATTAGATTTGATTGTCTAACCCCCGGGAAGGAACTATTCAGCTCAGTTTTCACCTATTCAAGTGCGAATACAATTACGGATATCCTATCTGAATTGACTTTAGATTATCAGACTAATTCAAATATCGGTACTAAAATATTCAATCAATCTAACAATCACAAACGTTATTCTCAGAATTAGACAAATATTGATAATCAGAATGAACTTATATAAAGAAAATTAAGAATCTCCAAAACAAAAGAACCAAAATATTATCAACTCCCAAACCAGAAAAGTATCAACTCCATAATCAAATAATAAAGAACAAAAGATAAAGATAAAGTCATAGTGGGAGGGGAAATCTATTTGCTCTTGGGCGATCTATGAGTATGTCAGTCTACTGCTCTTGTGTATATCTGTTTTGGTTGTTCTCTCCTTCCTTATGTGTGTGATCCCCTATTTTTATTTAATTTTTGCCATAATTATTTTGTAGTTGGGCTTTTGGGCCTTTAATTAAATTTCCAATAAAGCTTAGTTAGTCATAGCATGACTAACTAGGTGATGCAAATCTCAATTTTTCTTTACTTTTTCTGTCAATTACGTCAAATTTGACATTTGCTCTCTGCACACACCAAATAAATAATACGCATATAAATTAGGTAGAATCCAATCAAATTCACTCAAATATCGCATATAATATAAACATTTAATGCATGCAATTTCTAGCTATCAAATGGTATGAAAAAAAATATAATATATAATTCACAATACATGCTAATAATATATACCATATATATTGTCCCGTAAAAAAAATCTAACGGTGTGAGTAGTCACTACAAAAAAATAATATATTTGTAACGGAATTCCGTCCCTAAAGTTTACGTAGCTAGCGTAATTCCATTCCTATTTCCATCTCTAATGTCATTAGTAACGGAAAAAATAGATTTAGAGACAAAAAAGTTTTATTACAAAAATAATTTTTTCTTGTAGTGAGTGGCGGAGCCACATAGGGACTTGGAGGGCTCCCGAGCCGTCGTCCCGGTTGTTACTTCGAGTGTTAAATATATCTGGATCATTTTTCTAATTGGATTCCATCGATCCTTACAAAGTCAATTTTTTCATTTTGATTAAATACATCAAAAAATATATATTTTTACCATCCATTATGGTTAAAATGATAAAAACATTGAATATATGAATCATTTTTTTGGTTGTATTTGATCACTCCTTACAAAGTCAATTTTCTCATTTTGATTAAATATATCAAAAAATATATTTTTACCTTATGGTTAAAATGATAAAAACATCTGATTTTTAATCTCAACGAAACCCTCTAAACTCCTCGGTGAAATAACATTACCCGTGCCATTATATATGGGGTAAATTTGTGACCATAACTTCAAACTTCCGATATCACTAATTACCCGCGCCATTATATATGGGGTAAATTTGTGACCATAACTTCAAACTTCCGATATCACTAATTCTTTCCTTCAAATTGAATTGGGCATATGTTTAGAACTAATAAGAACGTTAATATTCCCATGTAAATATATATCTATTAACATTGGAGTACTTAATTAATACATACAATATAAATTAATTTATGCGAATTTACTTTTAAAATGTAAAGATAAATATCTTCTAATTTTGTTTTTACCTTTTTTACTATGCATATTTTCTATATATTTACAAAAATAAAAAATAAAAATTGCATTTAAATTATTATAATATAAAAAATACTCTATCCATCCAGCTAAAAAATATACATATTTCTATTTTGGGACGTCCAATTACAAAGTAAACATTTCATGAAATACCTCATCTCTTTTCGTAAATACTCTTACTTTACATCACATCATTACTTTTACACCAAAATTTTATTATTTCATAAACATGGCAGCGTAATTGTATTTATGTGTGGATGGAGGGAGTAAATAAAAATAAACTAAAAAAATAGTCACATATTCAGTATTAATATCAAACAACTCGCGGCCATGCATATCTATATTTTTTTGTCATGACTTATTGATGAGGGTTACCTCATGCCCCACCAGAAACACGGTTGTAGTATTTAATTAGTTAATTAATTATAGTATTATTATTATTTTTTTTTATTAAATTAGAAATAAAATAAAATAATGATGCATCAGTCAGTGTCACACTTTGTTATTATACAAATACAAGAAACACAAACAAAATACTTAATTTAATTAGGGTTTCCAGACCTCTTCTTCTTCTTCGTCTTCTCGAATATACTATTATAATATAATTAAATCCCACCCGCCCATATATATATATATATATATCACTACATAAAAATTAAAATAATACACTAAATCATAATAGAAATAATTAAATTATTGAATGTAAATAGCATAAATGTAAAAATTAAAAATTAAAAATTAAAAATAGCTTATATACAAAATCTTAGGGGTGACAACTCGGATTTTCAGTTTAGATTTTGCTAAATTCGAACCGATCCGAAAATTCAAAAATAAAAATTAATCCGAACTGAACCGAACTAATCGAAATCCGAAAATCCAAAATTCGAACTAAAAAATCCGAACCAAACCGAAAAATTCGAAATTCTAAATATTTTTAATTATCTTTTTAATTTGTAAGTTTCTTTTATATTTTATTATTATTTTATAATATTAAATATATATATATAATATATAAAAGTAAATATATTAAAATATAATTAATAATTTTGAGTTTTTTATATTAAAATATAATATTTTCTAATAAAATATTAAATATATATAATAAAAAAAATATTAAGATATTATATTTCGGATTTTGGATTGGTTCGGATTTTAAGTATACCGATCCGATCCGTTCCAAAAATCCGAAATTTGTCAAAAATTCAATTTGAACTAATCCGAAAAATCAGAACCAAATTTTAAATTTCGATTTAGTTTAGATTAAATTTTTGAATTTCGGATATTTTGCTCACCCTTACAAAATGTCCCCTATTACTGAAATTCTCTTTTATTGATGTTTTATTTAAAAAAAAAAAAAAGAAAAAATTATTTTTGGGTAGATAGAGGGTATACAAATATAATTATAAATTGCTCGTGGTCAAAATCTAAAAGAATAATTATATTAATTAATTAATTAATTAATTATAGAAGAAACACAGGCTGGCTGGCCATGGCTACGGCGGCCTTATCTGTAATAATTTTAAATTTTCTTGCAATTGGGAACAAAATCATTGTTGGTTGAGAATTTGGAATTTCCCAAAATTCGATCAACCAATGTTATCTCTCTTGTTTTTATTTATTAATTGTTTATCAATAATGATTATGATTTTTTTTAATATTTTTTTATAATATGAAAATCCACAACAGTTACTTTCATTGTTAGATAATGATATTTTGTATAATATATATATTTTTTTAAAAATTAATATTTAAAAAATAATACTCTCTCCTTCCACATAATTTGTCTATATTTTTTATTTTCGTATGTCCCACGTAACTTTATCCTTTTTATTTTTAGAAATATAATTATACACTTTAATAGCATTTTAAATTTTATAATTTTCTTAATTTTAATTAAATTATTTACTTATTTTAATCTTAATCTATAATTATTTTTACTAAATAATAATTATTTTTACTAATATACTTCTTAATTA